CCCCAAAACCCCAAAACCCCAAAACCCCAATTTTGGTTAAATTCATTGAAAATTAATTTAAAATTATGTACAAGCGCTATATATGTCAGAGGGTCAGGCCCCAGAGAAGCTGTATTGGCTGCAAACTCATGCTTTAGGCTCAAGAAAGGCAATGTGAGAGACAGCCAACAATTTCCATCCAAACCAAGGAGTATTTTTGTGTTAATTTATTCGAAGATTTTTCAAAAATTAAATTCATCAAAGTCTAAAATGAGAGGCAACAAGAAGGTACCAAGGAGTAGTCACCGAAACTTAGCTGGGATTACTAATTATCGAAGGTATATCACTTTCCCTCAATTTTAGCGTGCCAATGAAGCCAAGTGATCTCTCTGTTCGTCAGCTAAAAATGATGGCTATGCAACTCATGCCTTCACAGAAGCCAGAGGCACCTATTAATAAGACTTTTGATCCAAAGAGGATCTATCAGAACGGTATGAGCTTCTTCAAGAAGAACAGTTGCTCTAATAAGGCTCAGTTGCGAGAAGGCGTGCAAGCCAGTAACTCAAAATTAAGCCAATTGAGGTTACAGAAGATATCTTTACAGAAGGAAATCTTACAGTAAGCCCTCTCATTTAAGACTTTGTAGGAATAGTATTCATCTAGATAATCTGTTAAGGAATATCTGTAATGAAGAAGATCAAGAAAATATTCCTCCTAATCGATCAGCTTTAAACTTGGTTTCAACAAACAAAGTAAGTGCTCGATGGCAAAGATGCATATCTGCAGTTTAAACAGCCTTTATAATTTACAATTTGCAGTACTTTTTAGTCAAATTTGGCGTTATCTAGAAATATCTAAAATTAAGCTAAAAATCGATAAATTTCCTCGATATCCTCAAATTATACACCTCGAGCAAGAAGGCTCTCTTTGTCTACAAAACCCCAGGTCAGGATAATAATTATCAAACATTTGAACTCACAACCCCTCAAATTTTAGACTTCAACATCACCAGAATGAACTCTCTGCCATTGAGAAATCGTAACTTCTAAAATCACATCGTAGCCTTCTATTGAGCTCTCTTCTCGAGGCCTTCGTCAAAAACCCAAGTTGTTCAAAAGGCCGGGAACCGGCCTTGACCAAGACTTGGCTGGCCTGAAGAACTCCATCAAGCTGCTGAAGAGAGGCATCACGAATGCTAAATATAGGATTGAGAAGGAGAAGATTAAGGTAACTGTGCTAATCGAGTGTCTAGACTGGGCCTCTCAAGGCGATCAACCAGTTGATCCTCAAGGCTAACAAGCTAGTCGATGACCACCAGCCTGAGCCTGGTGATTCCAGGCACCAGCCTGTGAACATCCAGGTGATGAATGGAAGCCAATCAGAGATTGGTTTCTTTTCACCTTGTAAACAGTATTTAGAGATCGAAGGTGAGGACGGAGAAGCCAAGCCTCATGGGTAAGCTTAGGATTTATGTGGTTTAGAGTAGAGAAGTAGGAGATAAGGGATTTTAAAGTCAGAATTTAGATGTCATTGTTATTTGGATAATTTCAAATTTATTAATCTCAAAAGGGGTTTTGGGGTTTTGGGGTTTTGGGG